GGGCTGCTCTTGGCTCCGGCCCATCTTGCTCTTCAGCCTCTCCAGACCTAATGCACTCCCTCTCCTGTGAACAGAGATGAAGTCAGCTGCAGTCACCTGCACTTAATGGACAGAAACCCTTCCTGGGACAATTCCCACCAATAAAACCACATGGTGCTTCTCCCTACAGGCATCAGAAGGCAGCCAGCCCTCAGAGGGCCTGTCATTGCAGGCTAGGAGCGTTAAACCAGGCAGCCTTCCTGCTGGTAAAGATTGTTTCTGCTGGGACCTACCCGCTTTGATAATTTTGAGTCATCTTCTTCTCAGATGCCAAACACTGCTCATCTCTTGAAGCTATGATTTTTGGTGAATTAGAATTACTACATGCAAATGTCAACACAACAAACCTGAAAGGCGCTACAATAAGCATCCAGCTTTAGTGCAAAACCTTGCACACAGATCAACTCAGACCCTTCCTCACACACACAGTTCCTCACCTCATGCAAGGAACCCTTGGGCATTTTATCACGCACACAGTTTGCAGTATTTCCCAGGCTAGCTGTCATCCACTGACGTATGTGGTACTTCTTTCCCAGAGGCCCTGCCATCATCTGACAACCCCAGCCACGCCTTCAGGAGAGAGAAAGAACTGACAGCTCCCGTGTCTTGGCATGATCTGGGGAAAGCCTCCCACCAACAGGCGCAAACGGCAAAGCAAAATGCAAACCTTCTGCCCAAAATCCTCTGTTAAAAGACCAAGGCAGCTCTCATTCAAGAAACCATGGGGGAAAACCAAGCACCCACCTTCACAGGAGAACACGCGGTCGCAGAGGAAGCAACACAAAAATCGCAGAAGAAAATGAGAGGAAGGGCAAATTGCATTTCTCAGCCACGCTCTCCACCAAGTCTCATTATCTGTCATCGCACCCTACCCAGCTCCTTGCCGCAAGAACACGAGGCTCTGAAACCTCTCCCAAAAAGACACGCTCAGAAGAATGAGAACAAATATTGCGGGGACTTCTCCTCCTTCTCATAAGAGATCCCATCTTACTGGCCAAACAGCCGGGCTTTGCAAGCTTTCACAGACTTGCAGAGCACAAGTCTCTGACGGCACCAGTTCACCTTGGTGCTGTTCCAGTACAAAATCTGATTGATTCTGGCAGTTCCTACACCGAGACCTACAACATCTGGAGTCAAAGACAACACTGGTGATATTAATAAACTGTCAGCACACCACCACTAACTCAAGCATCCAGGAAATACAAAGGAGAGAAGAGGCAAACCGGTACTTCAGCTGGTCTTCAGGCTGCCCCGAAAAAACATATCACAGGCATGGCTCAACATGTTATTTTGAGAAAAAAAAATTTGTGAAGTGCATATTGCATAAAATTTAGCAGTCATCAGCAAAAAGGGGACAGCCTACTAACAGTGCAGGTGATCATTTTGATGTTTCAAACCAGGGTGACTTCTGTGGAAGGAGACAGTCTTTGTCAGGACAAGTCTCCATGTGACTTCTGCTAATAATTAAGACCAAAACAGAGGTCAGGCATGGAAAACTGTTCTCTTCGGGCCCAGCTAACACCACGTAGTCCACCTTCCCAACAGCAAGCACTCACTCTGTGCGCCAACTCTGCACCTCTGTTAACCTTAGCTCTGGTCCCTCACCCTCCATCAGCAACACCCAGAAAAAAAAAGCGCACCAGACACAAAGCCATGGCTGGCACAGGGAGCTTTAGCTCTGCAGAGGGCCGGTGTCTGTTTCCCTGAACTGATGGAGGGACAGTAGGAAGGAAAAAAGGAAGTGTGAAAACCCCTCGACTGGGATGGCAGCAGGCCTCTTGTGCAAACAGCTTGCTTTTAATACTGTCAACAGAACTGCGGAACAGGGTCAGGCGAATCACAATCTTTCCACTGATTTCACTGATGCCAGAACGAAACCCCAAGAGTCTTGAACATACTCAGAGCAGATTTACAGAGAAGGAATCCAGAAAACAGTAAAAGGCAAACACTGCGTTATGTAACTGTTTTGTGATACAACTGACACATCACATCCTGCTGAGGGTGGCTGATGGTGCTGACACAACACAGGAGAAAGATTAAAGAGACAACCAATTACCTTGTCTGCCCTCAGGTAAGCAGAGCAGAAAGTTTAAAGCTACAAAGCAGCCGGGCATCTGCTGTGGGAAAGGCTCCGAGAGAAAAATGCACCATTACACTCCCAACTAATGCTGGCACTTGAATAAATTTTCCAAGCATGAGCAAGCAGCAAAGCTTCCCAAGTGGCCTTTATATAACATCCTGGATCATCTACTTGATCCTGCAGGTAATTTTTTTGTTTGTTTTCCTCTGTGCTGTGACCGCTTCAACAGCACAGCATACTCTTATCTGCAAAATTTCAAAGCCAGTTTGTAATGTGAAATTATGGACCACCTACCATTTATGTCCACATTTCTATATTTTACTCTGAAATATGGTCGGCGCTTCCCTGAAAATAGAGGAGCAATGCGATCATCACGACACTCATTAAAAACTCACTATTCTTCTGCAACTTAAAAAAAAAGTTAAGACACTTCTCCCAACATTAAAAATAACACTATTCTTTAAAATCTGTTTTCTAAATTACTCCTGCAAAACAGCTCACTTTTCCTCTCCTGTTATCACAAGCATAGGCTACACGCATCCCACCTTCGCAGGGAAACTGAAGGCTGAAAGCTCCCAAATTCACACAGCCCACCCGCACCACGAGAGCTCTTCAAGAGCCTGGGCCACCATCACCGTCCTGGGGGCACGCTGCTCCAGCCAAAGGGCTCAGAGCCCTTCCTCAGCCCGAGGCTCACAGCGCACAACCGCAGAGAGAGCAGCTCCGAGGACACGGGAAGAACCAGCACCAACCCTCCCCGGCTCAGCGTAACGGGGGGCGGCTGCGGGAAGGCGGTGGCTCTCGGCGGGCGGGTCCCGGGGCGGGGCGGGCCCGGCTGATGTTAAA